ATTATAGTTTGTACAAATACAAAATCATACAAATTTGTTAATTTTAAATGCGGGCATTCATAAACATAAGATTGACTTTTAACAAAGTCATACCATCTAACAAGTGCCAATTGTAGTGTTATATTATCATCAATGAAATCTACTTCATCAAGCAGTAAAATCTAATAATAAGAATAATAATAAATAATATAAATTACCAAAAAGTTTTGATATAAAAAAATACTTATATATACTTACTTGCCCATAGCATAAATCTTCATCAGTTAAATAATCTGAAGATTCATTTGAATCCATTTTGATTGATACATTACTAAACCAGGATTTATTATGGTAATTATTATCTGATCTGATGATGCTACCATTATATAAAGTTACTGCTTTGAAAAGCTTTACTTGAGTTTTTTCATTTTTAATTTTAAAATTAAAAAGTTTTTTAAAATTTTGAAAACAAGTAAAGAATTTTTCTAATCCTATTTTCATATTACTATTTAATTTATTTTCATTAATTTACAAAAATATCATCAGATTCTGATAATACTAACTTCCATAATAAACCTGATAATATATATGTTGAGATTGTTGTATTTTTTTGATTTGATTTTTGTGATTTAATCTGACAAAAATTTTTTCTTTCTACCTATAATTTATAAAAAGAAAACTTTAACTATATAATTGCATAAATAAAAATACTAAATAATTTATATATACCATATTTGTAATTTGTTCTATTATATTTTTTTTATTTGTCATTTTGTAAGGAATCTTTACAAAATATTTATGTAAAGATTCATATGTTTTGGTTGTATATTGATTAAGGGAACCAAAATTTTTTATGGAGTCAATGATATGGTACCTCCAATGATGAAGTCTTGGAAATCTAAGATTTGATTTAGAAAATTTGCAAAACAACTCAACAAATTTTTTTGACCAATCTATAATGGAATCCTAAATATATATAATAAATATATTAATAAAAGTGATTGTGAATAAGGTTTCTGGTCGAAACTGCATCTATTAGTAGCCGAAATTGCCCAAATACTTTGGGCAAAAATTATTTTTTTATAAGCCCAAACTACTTTTTGTTATTAGCTGAAATTGGGTGAAATTATTTTAAAGTTGTTTAAGTTAAAACAAGTTGATTCATATAGTTTTTTAATGTTCATGCTTATAGAAAATGTTGAGAAGCCCAAATTGCCCAAACTAGTTTGGGCTTTGAGAAAACAGTTTGGACCAGAAATCTTAATTGTGAATTCATATTAATAAAAATTTTCCTTTACCTCAAAATCTATTAAATCACTTTCTGTGAAAGATTCTTTCTGACTTTTTATGCACATTTTGTTAAATAAAACAAATACCCTAGTCAACATTTCATTCTTTATTTTATTTTCTTCATCATGAAAATTTTTACTACTATATAAATTATCCAAGACAAAAACAAATACTTTCATCAAATTTCGATAATCATTTGCTGTCATTCTTGTTAAAGCAGTGACACCATTATTAAAAATCTTCAAATTATTATACCATGGAATTTTTGACAATCTTATGTTTATTTCATCAATTAAAGAGTTACCACCTTCAAATGATCCCAATAATTGGAATGTAAACTCAAGTTGGTAATTGTATAATCCTAAGTCTAATACATGCATTCGATCAGCTATTGCTGCATTGTATAATTAAAATCGCTAAATTAAATAATAAATATTAGTAAAAAAATTTATATTAATAAGCAAAAAAATTTAATAGTTTACCTTATACTCCAAAAAAAATTCTCAACCTTTTCAATTGAAACTAAATTTGTTGAATTGTTATCAAAATAACTTTTCATTGTTTTATGTGTTCTTTTGGCAATACTACTAATATTTAAATCCATATTTGATAAATCTTCTTTACATACTAAACAATTGTGACAAGGGTGATTTGATTGTGATGACTTATATGTTAAACAATATATTGAAGATTCAGCCAAGTCTGATAAAATAACTGAAATTTTTGGAAAAAACCAATGTGTTTTGTTTCCAATTTCTAGATTTATGCCCATTTCTTTATTGAGTAAAGGTTCTAAAATTATTTTAAGAGACTTGTGGAAAATTTTTCTTCTAATATTTTTATATTCTAATGATTTTTTTTCTGTTTCAGTTATTGGTTTGATTATTGGAAAATAACCCAAGATCTGTTTTGCATCCAATTTATTATGTCTCCAAGATGGAATGTTGCCTAGTGATAAAAATAAAGGATGCTCTTGACTTTTTCCCAAATTATCACAATTGGTAGCATCTGAATATAATATTACTGATAAAAGTTTTGAACCATAAGGTATTGATATTCCATATTTTTCCACCAATTACCAGTATTTTGTTCACCATAAGCTTTTTCATTATTCTGAAAAATAAAATATTTCAATTAATCATTAAAAATAAAAATATAAAAATTTATAACATTAAAAAACATTTACATGATGAATACTATCATATGAAAATAAAAAGTTTTGAGTTATATCATCATTCTTTAATAAATTCTTAATGCAATCAAGTATTGGCCAATTGTACAGGAAATATTCTTGTTGATTATATGGGGCGCGGAAAATAGAAACAGCCCTAACTGCAAAATCTCGATTTTGAGAAAATCGGAAAAAGATCTACATTTCAAGTAATTTACTATTGTTTTTAAAAACTTTAACAGAAAATATCTCAAAATTTTACTAAGTAAAGTGGGTATTGTTTCTAAGCTAAAATTAATTCCAGTGGCGAATTACATATAAAAATGTCATTAACTCAAAATCACAATTTTGGTAGTTAGGGCTGTTTCTATTTTCCGCGCCCCATATGTTAACAAATATGTTTTTTGACACTGTAATGAATTCATTTTTGATAGAAGTTTTTTTCCTCTTTGATATTATTTGGAAGTATGGAGCAATTGTGATTACTATATTGTTTAAAAAATTTAATAAAATCATTGCTAACTTTATCACTTAGATTATTTCTTATTACTAATGACATAAATTCTTTGTATGCATTATTTGAAAATCAAATTTTTTTGAACCTAAATAAATTTTATTGATAAATTTAATTCTTAGTGAAAATAAATTTTATTGATAAATTTAATTCTTAATAATAAATTTATGATTTTTCACTATCATTAATTTTCATTAATACCTAGATGACTATCCTCATCTTCAACATTCTTGTCAATATTTATATCTTCCATATCATTATTATTCATATAATCATAATTTGGAATTTCATTGGTATCTGTATTTTCATCAACATTATCAGCACAATTATAATCAGTGTGTGAAATTGTTTGCGGGCGCGTGTGTTACATTAAAGGTAGCCAATAATCTCTTAGCAGGATTTGTGCAGAA